GAAGGAGTTTAAAAACGGAATGGTTATGTAGATCTACTTAAACCCATCTGCACTCACTTCTATCAAGCGAGATACACAAGTCTTGATGCTTTATAATAAATTCCTTTATTTCCAAAAGGGGAGGGTTATTCGAGATGGGAGTTCAAATTGAGAGGGAAGGTTAATAGAACTCTGATTGTTGGTTTACCGCACGCGTACCCGGTACTTGACTTGTGATTTTCAAATCACAACCAAAATTCTTGAGATTTTGAGACTGAGGCTTTCATCGCGACATTTTCTCTTCAATTGTGAATTTAAAATAATTTTTAAAGGAAGTTTGTGAATTTTGTAGCAATTTTGTGCATGACCCACCGATATAGAAAATATTAAACTTGTTACTTACTTCAATTGTGGTAAAATCTGCGCTGTAATAGTTTCGTCTCCCAAAACATCAACAAATTCTTGGTACAATTTTTCTTGGACTTCCTCGTGTGTCGCCAGAAAATATAAACACCACGCCAAGGCTAAAAAGAAACAACTCAAGATGCTGTCTTGTCTCAGATAGCAGCACTGTCATTACTTCCTGGTAGTAAGAAGTTGGAGAAGATAATGTATGTTATCAGGAAAAAGGGAGATTATAAGAACGCGACGGGCGTCTTTGCATGAAATCATCTTTCTTAATTTCCAGTAATATTGCTTATTCCTGATGCTACATTTTACTCGATATATTAAATAAATTATAATAAATTACTACCGGTACTTACTGTTCCCAGTTGTATGGAAGCCTCCAATAAGATATGTTATCGACTGATGTACCAGCTAGAAACAAGAAGAGTAAAAATAATTTAGTAAATTATATTAATGGATACTTTAATGAAGGTTACTTGAACGATAAAGTATCAAGGTACAGAAATATGCCGACCTCTTCCTCATCAATAAAGTCGGCATCCATGATGGAATCAAGAAAGATGCGATCTTCTTTATCTTTCTGTCCTCGTCTTCCACGAATTACATCTTTCACGACACCCCGTAAATAATCCCGATCTAAATATATGTATTAATATTTCAACATAAATATATATATATATATATATATATATATATATATATATATATATATATGTATGTATATGTATATGGGAGTTGTTCGTTTTTTATTACTTTTTTATTAATTTTTTATTTGTCATTCATCGGCTGATATTAAATTGGCAAGTACTCGTCAGCCTACGGGTTACGCTGTCAATTCACGTTTCTTATTTCTTTATTTTAAATGTTGTTTGATTGTTTGTTGTTCGTCGTTGTCGTCGTTGCTGTTGTCGTTTCTGTTGTTGCTGTTGTTGTTGCTGTTGTTTCTGTTGCTGTTGCAACCTCGTACCCAGGGACTTTCCTCTTGGGGAGCAAAGACCCTGGTAGACGCTGGTCACGTGATCTGCTAAAATCTAGCAGATTTTTAATTAGCAATCCAAGATCAGGTCAATAAACATTTGATATTTGGATTGTTTTGATAGTTTAATTTATAATTTGCATTTTGTATGATTGTCGTAAAGAAAACCAAGATTATACAATTACTTTATGGTTTCCGTGTTTGGATGGCCTGATCCAAACACGCGGGAATGTTGCGAGGGTTAAGAAAAGCGAGCGAAACACGAGCCGAAGGCGAGTGATTTTGCCCGCTTTTCTTAACTCGAGCAACATTCCCAAGTGTTTGGATCATTCCATCCAAACATGGAAACCATAAAGTAATTGTTTTATAAAATAACAACAACACGATAGTCTTCCGTGTTTGGATGGCCTGATCCAAACACGGCTTTCGACCAATCAGAATACGCGTTATGTACATGTTATTTTATAAAGTTAATTAGAAATCTGCTAGATTTTAGCAGATCACGTGACCAGCGTCTACCAGGGTCTTTGCTCCCCAAGAGGAAAGACCCTGGGTACGAGGTTGTTGCTGTTGTTGTTGCTGCAGTTGTTGCTCCTGTCGTCGTTGTTGTTATCGTAGTTGTTGTCGTTTTTGTCGTTGTTGTCATTGCTGTGGCTGCTGTCGTCGTTGTTGCCAGTGTTGTTGTCGCTGGGTTTTTTGTGCTGTTTAGATGGCATTTTGGTCATTTGTATTTAATTCTTGGCTAGTACAAACTAAATAAGAGATATTTGAAGGATGTAGGGATCTCGTTTGCCATTCTAAAATTTACTTGAGATTTAGCAACTTGTACAGGCAAAACAACTTTCTCACTCACTTTTGACAAAGTTTTCCTTGCGACCATCTCCTTCTTCAGGCAAATTTCCTTTTAGTACATTTTCTTCCTCTTTCCAGCACTGTCAAGTATGCAAATACTTAAAAGCATGCAAAGTAATTGCAAGCAAATTTAAAGCAAATCGTAGCAGATTTATATGCCTTTTATCTACTGTAGAGAGGTTCAGACTTGACTTCCACTACCAGTTTGTTGAGTTTCTCACTCATTCGTGAGCGGATTTCCCAACAGGCTATTATTGCCCATTTAGTAAGAGATCCGAGGTACCTACGATCTTAACGTCCTTATTCGAAAAGACGCGAAAGTCTAACCATTTACTGATGTCATTATCAACTAAGGTAGCACTTTCTCCTGAAGAAGACCAGGAGTAGAGGACCGACAAAAGATTGAACCCAGGTCTCTCAGATTGAAAGGCACGCTTGGTGACCACGAGTGGTTAACTAATGACCACTAAGGGACCATTAATCAATCAGAAGAGTGCTAAGCCAGTGAAACGCAGCAGCAGCAGTAGAAGTCAAATCTAAACCTCTCTTGTATCTACACCGCTGCCGATGTCCAACCCAAACGGTTAAACATAATTTATGCCTTTAATATATAGATCTACTTACAACATGATAAGCCTTGGACATTTGAAGAAGTTGTTTCTCATCCTTCATTCCGCTCCCCAAGGCAGCAAGAGCAACAGCTTTCATACTTAGTGCAAGCATGTGTTGTGAAAGAGGAATATGTTGGTCTGAAGGTTGAGATGCCCACTTGTCACAAAGTTCATTCGCTACCTGCACAGAAAAATCACTTAGATGGCACTCGAACACTGCATACTTCCGCAAGCGAATTAAGTTATGTATAAATTATACAATAAGCTAATTACGCATTCTGTTTACTCTGCTCGGCAAAGCAAGACAAACTTTTCCTAGTTTCGCATCCAAATTTAATTAAAATTTAATTAATTTGTCCTTGGACATTGTCCCACATTTTAAATTTTGTATTATGTTTGATATTTTGTCAAGTTATCGTGCTGACACACACACATACAAACGCGGATGAAAACATCCTGGCTGCGGTAAGCTCTGTACACACTAACCACCCATTGTTTAGTTCCCTTGATAAATTATGTACTACACGTATGTGCAGTTCGTCTGTCAGAGTTGTTAGTTGACCAGTCCAGAATTAGTTAGTCAACCGGTCAGCCCAGTCACTGAAACGTTTGTATAGAATATTGTCAAGAAAGTAAAGAAAAACTGAAGATGCGAGGTTATAATACATATGTTGTGCTTGCCTGAAGAACACAAGAGACTGTGTGTTGGCTGGGCAGTGTATCCAAAACATAGACTCATGGGCGGGTTTTCATTTTTTTCAAAGGAGGGGAAGAAAAATGTCTAGTGGGGGAGCTTCGACATGGGTTAGGCGTTAGGGTTAAAGACTTTCACACAAAATAGGAGGGGTGAAGTGAAATTTTGGTGAGGTTGAACACTTTATAAGAGGGGTTAGAGAGATTCTAGGGGGGTTAACCTCCCCCCTCCAGTAAATCCGCCAATACATAGACTGCGAGCAGTCCCTCCTTAGAAGGAAAGGAGGGACTGCAGACAACACATCAAGAAACGAAATACGCGTTGTCCACACAACGCAAAATTCTGATTGCTTGACATAGTCGATTGTCAGATCTTTTATTGAATTTTGAAAAAGTCAATTAGTATAGGTATTAATCATGCGATGGCGAGTACAATTAGGGATTAATAGTACGAGTGATGTTTGGAAATGTTGCCAAAATTATTGGACGAGCCGCCGGGGCGAGTCCAATTTGGCATATTTCCAAACATCACGAGTACTATTAACCCCTAATTGTACGAGCAACATCGCATGATTACAAAATTGGATACTTCTCAATGTCAACATCATATTCTCTCGCCAAAGCCCAGTCCTGCCAGACTTTCAGCCAAAATTTGGTGCTTTTGTTCGTATTTTCATTTAGTTCTTTTGTTAAAGCAAAATTTCGTGTTTTTGTTCGTATTTTCGTCTAGTCCTTCTAGGGCAATTTCATTTCGCATTTGTGTTTAAAACACCTTTCCGCCATTTTGTTTGTTTTGGGAAAATCATTAATTGTACTGCAGTACAATTAATGAAATAATTGTACTCCTTTCAACCAATCAGCATCCAGTAATTTTGTCATGCTAAAATAAACTTAATTAAATGTATTGTTTTTCAAATTTGAAAGTCAACCGTCAAATTATGTCATATTAATTAAATTCGTAGGATTATTATTCATACTGTCTGAAAGCGTTTAGTATTTTATTTCGAGCGAATATATGCAATTTAATGTAATACTATGTATTTTTGCTTGTAAAACATAAGCGTCGTCGTTTCCTTGCATGTAATCTTGATTTTTTACTTTTAAAACAATACGATACGCGCTATAAATAGTTACCTGTTCACAGCGCCAAAATAATTATACTGAAGCTAAGGGGCGATTGCGAAAAGTGGGCGTATTTCGTTTCTTGATGTGTTGTCTGCAGTCCCTCCTTTCCTTCTAAGGAGGGACTGCTCGCAGTCTACTAAAACACAAGGTCTGGCATTTACAGGAAAAACCGGCAGGGGCGCCGGAGCCACGGGGGCAGAGGGGGCAACTGCACCCGTTGCCCAAACAGTGCTGGGGCAGCACGGGGGCAACAGGTGACCCTTTTTACCAGAACTGCACTTCGAAATTCGTGCGTTATTCACAGGAATTGGAATTTATAACTATTTTTAAGCAATCTTTGCTTAATTTTTAACCAGTTGTAGTAAAATTAATGCTAAATCAGGCAATATACATCCGTTTACTGATTATATTTTGCGCCCTTAGTATGGTGCAACGAATAAAATTGTTCAAAATTAATGTCTAAGTGTGTCGACCCATAATAGCCACAAGTAATCAAGTATCCATACAGTAAATTTTTAACAAATATTGCCGCCCAGAAAAATGATGAAGCAAGTGCCCTTTTGAAAAGGCTGCCCCCGCCGCTTCACATTCCTTCCTGCACCATTGGAAAAACATATCAGTTGCGAGAAAAGCTTTTTTAAATTAATATTGCACAGAACGCGGGCTTGTAGCGTTTTGTGCGCTGTATGTCTTGTAAACAAGTTTAGTTTATTTGATGTACAGTATCAAACATGTGAAAAATCGTGGAACGAGGGTGCTGTTTCCTCAACATTGTCTTTCAATGTTGATTTTTTAATGTACCTGCACTGGAGTAAATGGAGCTAATATAAATGCTTTACTTTGACATCATTAATTTACACAAACACCAAATTTTACTGAACCAAACCTTGACAAAATCATCATAATAATAAGCAACAGCTGTATGACTAAATCCTTCATCCATCAGATGGCGTCTCTTGCGACCTTCTGCACCATTTGCATACTGTATACTCTTGTGACCAATTAAATCAGAAAAGGCTTCGAAGAGAAGTTCTATAATAAAATGAGTTTCTTTGATAACAAATATTACTCACACATTACTTTCATTGAATATTTATGTCGCAAACTGCAACTGAAATTATGTGCCCAGTGGAAGGTAATTACATCACCACTTTAATTGCTTCGTATTATTCATATGGTCTGAAATATAGACCTGGCCATGATATATGTGCAAGGCATGTACAGTTCTGTAGTACTGTATATCACACACCTTAAAAACTAAGGGTCGGATTATGACTGTATAGTTTTGCCTGTGGTCCGTCTGTCACAGATTTTATAAACTGTGGTGATTGACCGATTGTGCCACAATCGAAAATTACGGATTTATTTTAATTTTATTTTATTAGCTTTATCGGACACAAAATTATAGATTAGAAGGTGAACGCCCAACGGGCAGAACTCCAACAACTTCAGTCTCTGAAAGTTGAATACTGAAAAGCTCGGGAATTGGGACGTTGAGCTTGACGTGGAACTTCCAGTTATAATAACCGACAGACTGTGTTTGCTATGGACGTCAATGCGTGACAATATCTTCGAAAATATAACCTTCCGCTCAAGTATATTATCACAGTTATGGCATACCGTTAAATATCAAGAATAATGGGTTACATCTTTTCCTATAGGTGCAATGTGACATTGCTATCAACCCTGGTCCAACTCCTAATCAATAACCTCAGCGACAAAAGGACGATGGAAAATTCTTAACAAAATGTCTGGTTGTTAACGCTCGTATTTTGTCGAGTGTTCACAAGAAAGACTGAAAGAGGGAAAGCAAACATGTCACTTGACTAACTTTCAAGATCTTTGAGAAAACAGAAATCTATATTCTGAGAAAGCAGATCTTGTCTGGGCAAGTGAAACATGGTTGAGGGATGATATTGAAAGTTCTGAAATTCTTCCAAGGGGCTACTGTAAATCTCGCGCCGGAGGATGTTGGCGTTTCATCTTCATGCGTGTGAGCGAACGATATCAAGCAGTACGCATAAATTCTACTCTATCTGAGAAATTGCCAGTGGTTAGTGGTGTCCCACAAGGAAGTATTCTCGGCCCGTTGCTGTTCAGTATTTATCTCAATGATCTACCGGTTGCCAATAAAACGTGTTCCTCTGAATCGTATGTTGACACTAAACTCCTTCTGTCCTTCCATATCAATGACTCCAATGCTGCTCTGGCTGATCTGAATGAAGACTTAATTAGAATTCGAAATTGGTGTTTCGACAACCTGCTCTTGCTCAATCCAGGCAAGACCAAATTGATGGTCTATGGAAGTCGTCAAATGCTTGCAAGGCTACCTGAATTTAGACTCTCGCTACTCGGTAAAGAACTAACACCTGCTGCAACAGTCAAAGATCTGGGAGTTACGTTTGACCCAATCCTCTCCTTCGACAATCATATCCTTTCCACCGTCTCGTCCTGCAAGTCAAGTCTCTGTCGGATCATATAGGTCAGATAAATCGAGCTAAACACGCCTTCAATAAAAATCTGTTAGTAACTGTAATCAACACTTCGGTTTTCAGCAAGCTCTACTATTGTTCTTCACTTTAGTCAAACACTTCCTGCAGTAACCTATCCCGTCTTCAAGGAGTCCAAAATTTCGCAGCACGAGTAGTGACGAATACAAGAAAGTTCGACCACATCACTCCGATTCTAAAAGAAATACAGTGGCTTCCCGTGAAATTGCAACTCTACTATCGTGATGCTCTACTGGCCTTCAAATGCATGAACAATTGTGCCCCCATCTACTTGTCGTCCCAGTTCATAACCAGAGGTGAAGTGAGCTCTCGTGAGACAAGAAATGTACGAAATCTGGACGTCCCACTGTACAAAACAGCTACTGGACAAAGATATCCACTATCGAACTGTCACTCTTTGGAACAACATTAGCCCTGACTTAAGTCCTGCAATTCCATTTCAAACTTTAAGTTAAAACTAAGACATAAACTTTTCCAGCAATTCTTAAATACTTGTTTTTCAGTAGTTAATCAATAAGCGTTGTCGATGTAACTATTGTTGTGTTATCGTCATTGTTGTTGTTGTTGTTGTTGTTGTTGTTGTTGTTGTTGTTGTTGTTGTTGTTGTCCCTGTCGCAGTTTTTGCGAAATTGTCCTTGTTTGCTAGTAACGTGTTTCAGGAAAATTAATTAGGACTAAATGTAGTAGTAATAAATTGTAATGTAATTTTTGTCACTGAATGCCCCTTCAGGGGAGTGTCAATAATGCCAATAATCAAATATCTAGTACGCTGTTGCTGCAAGTCTCAACAGAATACAAACAGCCAACAGATGGAAAAGTTAAATCTATTTCTCACCAAGTCTTGTTCTCGATATTCGAATATGCTTACTGTATGTGCGGAAATGTTAAAATGGAAATCTCTGGAACTAACAACAGGTGCTGATGCAAGGTGAAAATGAAGTGCAATTCACTGAGCAATTGAATGATTACCACCTATAATGCAGCTGAATATATGTCTGACACGAGAAAATCATGTACTTGATCTTGTTGTTATCAATGTTCCTATAGTCAAGTCGACAACGTATCGGTAGACTAATAACTCACCACTCTACAAATTATTTTTAATCTGAAAACATCAGTCAAAGCAGCTCCCAAGCTTAAACGTAGAGTTTTTGACTATAGGAGAGGGAACTTTGATGGACTGAGGGCTACACTGGAAGCACTTGAATTGTGTACTGTAATTGAGTCGGAAGTTAATGTCCAAGAAGGATGGATGAAATGGAAAGAGCTCTTTCTTAATGCTGCTGCATGAGAACATTCCTACTAAAACAATCAAAAACATTAATAGTCCCCCTTGGATTAATGGTGAAATAATTCATGCAATTCAGAAAAAGGAAACTGTGCGACAAAAAATGAAATCATTTCCGACTGACACTTTAAGGAATAAATTTAGGGAACAACTGTACGTGCTAAAGTAGAATTAATCTCGGAGTACAGCGCTCATGCACTTCTTTGAAACCTTGGATGAAGATCTCCATATAATAACTCCAAGAGGTTTTGGTCTCTTTTCAAACTAAAGACCAAAGACTCCAGCGTGCCAGGAAGAATCTCGATGAGAGTAAGTGGATTGGACCGGGCCTCAGTTCAGTCACCATACTTTTCATATGTTCTAAACGGCAACGACAATCTAATTGATTCAATAACTCCTCCCAATACATGTGTTGCATTATGCCTAATATGTAATATAGTTCTATGCTGTGCTGTATTTTCTGTGGATTTTGTTCCTTTTGCACCTCTTTAAATATGCTGTCTGAGCACAATTCCCACGGTATTTGAAAATAAAATTGCCTTTCATTTTTGTGTGAAAATATCTACGGCAATGCATGAAAGCAAAGATAATAATTTGTAATTATTATAAATCAAATTATATACTTGGCCTGTCAAAGAGTGCCTTGACTTCCTCAAACATTTCAGGTGATGCTAATGAGACGACAAGTTGTGTTCCCCACCAAAAGCTTACTAATGAACCATATTCTTCATGTAGAGTTATGAGAAATTCATGAAGGCTTCCAGCATCCTGCATATCCTCCAAATTTCCTTTGCTAGAAAATAATGAGTTTATTACTTCAAAATAGGATTCGTACAGCTTCGTCCGTTTGAATTTCCAAAACGTTTGCAAAACTTTCCATATAGCCCTTACATTAAAATTTCCAAAACCATCTTCTTAAAAAGTACTACTAAGTTACAGAAAATATACTTTTGATTTTCACACGTGTGGACCCCAGTGGCCATTATAATTATTACAATAAGCACGAGTGCTCAATATAAAACGCAAATAAAAACCATATAGAAACATAAAAATCTATTTTATAAAAAACCCTTTTATAGATTTTTCTATCATGGCTTTTATTTGTGTGACTTTCATAGCCCTAAACAGTGACAATAGATTTTGGAAAATACCTCAATCAATTTCCAAAACTTTCCAAAAAGTCCAAAACCCGTACAAATTTTGACAAAATTTAAGGGAAGCATAGACCTTAACAACACATATTGCCCTATCACTTGACAATCACTATAAACTGACACACTTTTAAAATCTTCTGTGTTAATATTCTACCGTCGGTGTACTAGATTAAGCATATTCTTTTAAGAAAAAAAAAAGCTTAAAAGCTTCCTATTTGGTACTGTATGTTGTATTGTTCCACTGTATCGTTCCTTAGGGTAAGCATTCGCTACGTTACTTCGGCCCAGTACTATGGTCAAAGTTGCATAGTGATATTAGACATTGAAAGTATGCTGGACAATAACTGTAACTTCTGCATTTTATGCAGCACTTAGCACTTATTATTTTTACATACAGTATATATTTATATAGTAGATTATAATATAGCATTTGTAAATTCTGAACGCTGATTGGCTAAGAGCCGTGTTGATATAACTCAATATCAACACGGAAACGTCGGAAAATTTCTTTCTTTATATTTCTTCGTGCTATATTATAAAACAAATATAAAACATTTTTTCCGTATTGATATATAGTTATATCAACACTCGCGGAAATTGGGAAAACTCGAAATTGTGTGGAAACACTCCGCCCTTCGGGCGTCATGTTTCCACACAATTTCTCGTTTTCCCAATTTCCACTCGTGTTGATATAACTGTATATCAACACGGAAAATGTTTTATATTTGTTAATTATAGTATTGATATTATAGATAAATAGTGTCCCCAATTAGCTACTATTGCTAAACAATGTATATTAGACACTTTAATAAAGTCTTATTATTATTATTATTATTCAAATTATACAGGAAAAATTGATTAGCAAATCTTTATTAAATGTTAAGGAAAATTCAGTTTTGCAAAAGGAAACAAAACAGTCTGAAAAAAACGGTGGTCATTTGGTTGCCACATAAAGCTAATTTGACCTCAGTTGTTTGAGTTTGCAAAGTAAAGTTTGCCCATTATTTGAATAAGTGATTTCCACTTTTCACCATTCTGCCAAAACAATATGTAAATTGGTCATTACAATATACATGCACATATTGCATTTGTGGCAGCAAACTATATCTAGCTAACAATATACTAAGAATTCAATGAATTAGTGAAAATTTCAATTAGGTTCACATGCGGGACACAACCTTTTTCCAATCAGCAGTGTTGTTTGTTCTCTAACTTCTTCAGCTTTACAAATAATATTATAATATTGCTCATGAAGCAAGCAATTCATGCCTTCATACAGTCAAATTGGCATGGTCTTGTTGCATCCTTTCACATACATTTACGCTTAATTTTCACAAATTGTGAAAAGAATGAAAATTATTTTTATATGGGTCTTTGTTTTCATAATACAAAATGGAAGATGAAGACCCATATCATCTTTAGTTAGGTGTTTCGGTCTTTTGTAGGTTACCCGGATGCACCCAGACGACTTTATGCATCAAGGGGAGAGTGCTGCCACTCAATGGCTTTAACATCAAATATGCTGATTCCAACGTCAAGACTGGATACACATTTATAAGTAACACAGTCATGAAAATTCGTGTGTTTCATTCACTTTATAACCTTCAGAATTCTGTATATAAACCTATCCCCCAAACACTGGAAATTAGATTTCAATGACTCTGTTTTCAATGACTCTAGATTTCATTCCCTCCTGCCACTGCAGGAGGGAATTAATGGCAGGAGGGAATTCCCCCCCCCCAAAAAAAAAATCCAAAATCCCCCCCCCAATCTGAAAATAACTAAATTCTGGGGGGGGGGAGCATTTCCCCCAAAAATGGAATATGAATATCATTATTAATGTTAAACTGGTAAGTGGTAAGGCATATACTGTAACCTTGAGTATAAAAATGGGTTATCACTTGGATGTGCAGTTGGTGAACCCAGAGCGTAGGAAATGACGTCTGGGTTTGTGACTATAGGAGTTATTAGGAGGGGGGAATTCCCCCCCCCCCCGCCAAATAAAAACCCCTGAAATTTGGGGAGAGCTCCCACCCAAGTCCCAAAATCTAAAATACCATTGTGACAATCTGTCCAAAAAATGAAGCCAGCTTTGTGTTAACCGTGCAGACCAAAACAATTGGTATCTGACATCCAATAGCTCCTTCAATTTCTGAAACCTTGGCAAGGAGTGTGCCGAAATTTCATAGTTTCAAATTTCAACACAGACTATGGATGGTTTTATGAACTGATACTGTAACTTGATTATGGTCAGTTAGAAAAAAACTGGAATTAGCTGGGAAAATAGTATAAAAGCTGTTCATGACCTTCAGAGCTATTGCACAACAATGGCCGGCATCTTGGCCAAATGACTGAAGTTTTTGCTGCAGTTATATGGAGATCACTGGGTGTCTCCTACTTTTGGCACTTGACTATCCCCCCCCCAGTACCCACCCTCCACACACTTTCACTGCCCTAATACCACAACTCTATGTGTGCTGATCTGTATTGAAACTGGCCACCATTGTGTTATCATGAATTATAAAAAGACTGGACACTACTCATTCCGAATCATATTGCTCGGGTGAGAGTAGTCAATCTTCAGCTGCATTGTAAGAGCTGAGATACAACTACCTGAAAAAAAGAACTTTGGTGTTCAACCTTGAACTTCCTGCAGTGGTTTCAAAATAAGCCGTCGCCCGTCGCATCTGACTGCAACTCTTCCATTTGCGACGGCTACTTTCTCTTTTGTACGTATGGACTAACTATAAATTCTGGTTAAAATATTAAAGTGTTTACAAAACGTTTTGTGAGCAAATAAGCATGTATGTATTTCGTCGAAACATAACCACAGCCACAGATTAGAAGCCTTAGATACGTCTCTTGCCCGTTGAGGACAGGCTCAGAGCAGTGCTTCAACTTTCAAAATTTGAAAAATCCTTATTTTTTCCCGATTTGGACTAAAATTTCCTTCAAAAATATTGAAATTTCCTTCAAATTTCCTTTAAGAATTTCTTCCATTTTTACACAGATTTTCGCAAAATCATGCCAGACAATGGACCATTTGCATTATACACTAAATTTTGATCTAGACAAAAATTTCATCACAGCTTGAAAGAGCATCACAAAATTAGTAATATTCCAAAGTTTCGTTCCGGAATGTTGTAAAATGCGAATATAGCCTTGCGAAATTTGCCGTTTTTCAGTCATTTTGTATCACGCATGGGAAATTGACAGCCCAATCGTACGGTGGCCCATTCGGGCCAACCCTTCTCCGTAGAAACTTGCACCTTCTCCGTACAAATGTGTTGTTATTCCATGGAAATCAAACTTCTCCGTGGAATATTGCCGTTGTTCTGTCACGGAAAGCCTTTTCTCCGTAGAAATATGCCGTTTCTCCGTGGAAACACGCATCTTCTCCGTGGAAACACGCAGCTTTTCTGTGGAAACACCGCAGCTTCTCCGCGGAAACGCGTAGCATTTCTGTGAAACACGATGCGGTGGCCCGAACGGGGCACCTATTCTCCGCAGAAACATGCAGCTTCTCCGTAGAAACATGCATCTTCTCCGTAGAAACACGTGCCTTCTCCGTGGATGAGCACTTTCCTTGTGAATTAAAAAAGGCACGCCCCCCTGAATATTTATTGTTTTATACGACGGGGGGAGGAAGAGAAAATAAAGTCACAAGTCAACATCGTGGTCAAAACATTACAAGCCAATTTTATAAATATGAATACTTTAATATGGGCACAGATATCCAGCATATAAATTGTGAGAATTGCCAGGCAGAGATTTCGATCGTTTATAGCTTTTGTAACAATTGTGGAAATAGATACATACTATAAAGTTTTACTTTTTTATATTTATGTTATTTTTATTTGTGGATTTATATTTTTATAAATTGAATATTTAAATATACAACGTATTAATCTGTCAGTCAGTCTCGTATGCGGATCTGCTAGTGTAGGTATGGATATACAAATACCTACACTGGCAGATCCGCATACGAGACTGACTGACAGATTATTAAATACGGTGTATATTTAAATATACAATTTATAAAAATATAAATCCACAAATAAAAATGATAACATAAATATAACTTTTTTATATTTATGTTATCATTTTTATTTGTGGATTTATATTTTTATAAATTGAATATTTAAATATACACCGTATTTAATATGCGGATCTGCTAGTGTAGATATTTGTATATCCATACCTACACTAGCAGATCCGCATACGAGACTGACTGACAGATTAATACGTTGTATATTTAAATATTCAATTTATAAAAAATATAAATCCACAAATAAAAATAATAACATAAATATAAAAAAGTAAAACTTTATAGTATGTATCTATTTCCACAATTGTTACAAAAGCTATAAACGATCAAAATCTCTGCCTGGCAATTCTCACAATTTATATGCTGGATATCTGTGCCCATATTAAAGCATTCATATTTATAAAATTGGCTTGTAATGTTTTGACCACGATGTTGACTTGTGACTTTATTTTCTCTTCCTCCCCCCCGTCGTATAAAACCAATAAATATTCAGGGGGGCGTGCCTTTTTAAATTCACAAGGAAAGTGCTCATCCACGGAGAAGGCACGTGTTTCTACGGAGAAGCTGCATGTTTCTGCGGAGAAGAGGTGCCCCGTTCGGGCCACCGCATCGTGTTTCACAGAAATGCTACGCGTTTACGCGGAGAAGCTGCGGTGTTTCCACAGAAAAGCCGCGTGTTTCCACGGAGAAGATGCGTGTTTCCACGGAGAAACTGCATATTTCTACGGAGAAAAGGCTTTCCGTGACAGAACAACTGCAATATTCCACGGAGAAGTTTGATTTCCATGGAATAACAACACATTTGTACGGAGAAGGTGCAAGTTTCTACGGAGAAGGGTTGGCCCGTATGGGCCACCGTAGAAATGTTAAACGTGCCGCGCACTTTGAAAAAGTGAAGGCTGTTTTTCAGACAAAATATAATATGTTCATTATAGGAAACAATTAAAAAGTTAATAAACAAAATGTAAATTACGATATTTTGAGAACTACGGGCAACAGAAAGGCCGATTCTGAGTTGAGGACCGCTCATTCATGGCGGGAGGGGGGGG